CCAAAATGGGGGTGGAAAACCCCCAAAAATCCCGGAATTTTTTCCCTTTTTTTTTTTTTTTTTTTCCCCGCCGCCTCCGACGTTTCCCAATAAATTCCTGGGGTTTTGTCCCAAAATCGCTTTTATTCCAATAAATAAACGTTACAAAAGGGGGGTGGGGGAGGGGCGGGCGCGAGACCCCCGAAAAGTGACGTTTATCCAAAATAAAATAAAATTTAAAAAAAAAAAATTCCCCAAAAATCCCAAAAAAAAAAAAAAAAACAAAAAAAAGGGGGGGGAAAAGGGTGGGGGAGGGGCTTTGATCCCGTCCCAAAAAAAGTGACTTTTGCCCCAAAAAAATCGGGAGGAAATCGGGTAAAGGAGGGGTTGGAAAATGAGGATTTTTGGGAATAAAAAAATCCCGAAAATTGACCTAAAAAAAAGGCGGGAAATGGAGCGGGGGAGGGGCCCCAGAATTGTAAAAAATCATTAAAAAGTCCCTAAAAAATTGGGGAAATCGGGAAAAAAAAAATAAGTGAGGGGAGGGGTCGGAAAAACCCCTGGAATTGACCTGAAAAGTGTAAAAAAAAACGGCCCCAAAAAAAGGGGAAAATCAGGGAAAAGGCAAAAAAAAATTGGGGAAGAATGAAACAGGGAAAAAATGGGGAAAAATCCAGGAAAAATGGGAAAAAATGGAATTGTGGGAGAGGCAGGGCTGATTAACCTTTTAAATTTAAGGATTAACCAACCTTAAAAAATTCATAAAAACGACCCCAAAAAAGAGATGAAATAAATGGGAAAGAAGGAAAATTAAAAAAGGAAAAAAAAATGGAAAAAGAAGCAAAAAAAAGGAGGGAAAAAAAAAGGGGAAAAAAGGGAAAAAATGGGAAAAAGGAACGGGGGAAGGGGCAGGGCTGAAAAATTCATAAAAACCCCTTAAAAATCCTTAAAAACCACCTTGAAAATGTGAAAAAAACCCTGGGAAAACCCGGAAAAAACAGTAAAAAAATCTAAAAAAAAAGAGAAAATGGGGAGGGGGGAGGGGCTGCAACCCCCATTTGAAAAAGTCTTAAAAATCGGTAAAAACGGCCGAAAAAAAGGGAGAAAAAGGGGGAAAATAACTCAAAAAATAAAACAAAAAAAACTTTAAGAACATCCCAAAAAAACCCCCCAAAAAAAAATCCCAAAAAAAGCTGAAAAAACCATGAAAAAAAATCCCGAAATTAACCCCCCCAAAAATTAAAATAATAATTAAAAAAAAAATAAAATTTTTTTTAAAAAATTCAAAAAAAAATCAATAAAAATTAAAAGAAAATATAAAAAATTAAAAAAAAATTTTTAAAATTCCAAAAAAATTTTAAAAAATAAAAAAATAAAAAAAATTTTAAAAAAATCCAAAAAAAGCCAAAAAAATTTAAAAAAAATTCAAAAAAAATTAAAAAAAAAATTCAAAAAAAAGTCCAAAAAATAAAAAAAAAATCAAAAAAATTCCAAGAAAATTTAAAAAAAAATTAAAAAAAAATTCCAAAAAAATTCCAAAAAACTTCCAAAAAAAACCCGGGAAAGGCCCAAATTTTGGGGTAATTTTGGGGGGATTTGGGGCTCAGATGAGGTCGGCCACGTTGAGCGGCATCTCCTCGATGGCCGTGTTGTAGAAGGTCTCGATGTCCCGCAGCGTCCGTTTGTCCTCCTCCGTCACCATGTTGATGGCCACGCCCTTGCGGCCGAAGCGGCCCCCGCGGCCGATCCTGGATGGGAAAAACGGGAAAATCCATGGGGAATCCAGGGGAAATCCATGGGGAATCCATGGGGAATTCATGGGAAAATCCATGGGGAATCCATGGGGAATTCATGGGGAATCCATGGGAAAATCCATGGGGAATCCAGGGAAAAAACGGGAATTCAGAGGGAAAATCCATGGGGAATCCATGGGAAAAAACGGGAATTCAGAGGGAAAATCCAGGGAAAATCCATGGGGAATCCAGGGAAAATCCATGGGAAAATCCATGGGAAAATCCATGGGGAATTCATGGGAAAAAACGGGAATTCAGAGGGAAAATCCATGGGGAATCCATGGGGAAAACAGGGAAAAAACGGGAATTCAGAGGGAAAATCCA